CCAATATTTCATTTCTTATACACATTGTAAGAAGAAACAGTTTATGATCTGATTTTAAAAAGATTAGAAAAATTAAAGAACTTTCAATTCCTTAAGGACTAACTGAATTAAGAACAGCTAAAGATGGTCTCCATAATTATTTTCAAATTTTAATTGAGTTACAACTTAATTGCGCTATAAGGAAATTTAATTGCGCCACAAGTTATAACTCAATTGCACCATTTTTTTTAATTGTAATGATCATTTTTAAGAGCAGCTCTTAGATTATTTTCATACTATCATAAATTTATTAGAGGATTCTTTCAAATCGCTAAACCTATAATTATATTATTAAAGAAGGATGTTCTATATGACTGGACTAAAGATTAACAAAAGTTTTTTGATAAACTAAAAGAGAAGTTAATTATATCTCTTATCCTTCAATATTCAGACTTTATTAAGGAATTTATACTCTATATTGATACCTCAAAAATAGGACTAGGAGCAGTATTATCTCAATTAGATGATAGTAAAAATGAACATATTATTGCTTATGCAAACAAAAGTATGAATAAAGCTAGATGAAATTATCTGATCACAGATCAAGAATGCTTAGCAGTAGTTTAGGCTATTAGAAATTTTTATTATTATCTTATCTCTAAACTATTCACTATTATAACCTGCAAGATGGATTATGAAATTATAGCAATATAATTTTAATATTTAACATAAACCTGAAAAGAATAATACTAATACTGATGCATTATCTCAATTAATTCCTGATCATAAAAAAAATAATGCTTCTAAAGAAGTTTTTATGCTTGTAATTTTGCAACACTTGTAAATACTGCTATCAGTGTAAAAGAAATGATATACCATATGTTTAAAATTATGATATCACACATAAACTGCAAGGTAGTTAAACTTGACCTTACTCAGTGATACAATATGATACTAGTATTATGACATCTTATTGATGATTAGACAGATTCTCGTTTTAGTACAAGACTAAATGCATTATCTAATCTTATTACAGATCTAAATATTTACACAATATTAACTGGCTAGTATGCTATAAAAAATTTATTTAATATCATAAATAAATGGATACTTGAAAATGAATGTGATGGTAAGTATATTTTATAAAGCTATTATTGAAAATATATTTTATATTACTAATTTAATATTATTTATTAGATGATAGTATTATTATATGCTATCACAATAGCGACTTCATTAATATTTCATTAAGAAATAGATGAAGTGTCAAAAAAGTTAATAATATAAAACTATCAAAAAAGTTGAATGATAAACATCCATTTTTTCAAAATCTTTCTATATCATATATAAAACACTTTGAGTCAAAGGGTATACTACTAAATAGGAAATTAGAATTTTATAATTCTATCACATATATTCTTCTTAAAAGTAATTAAGATCCTATTTAATTAAAAATTCATGTTGGTGATATTATGGAACTGGAAGAAGAGTCTGAAGGCATTGCATATATCAAAATCAAATTGATTTTTTAGTATCAAGTGAACAACAACTAATATTACACATTCTTTTTATTCGATTAGTTTGAAACAACAAACTCTATCAATACTGTATTAGAATATTCACTTTACAATATTTAAAAGCTAGAGGAGTCACGTTAGTTTCAAATTTTTTCAATTAATTTTATTGATCATATTCTGTATGTATATTTTATTCATAATTGTACAAATACATGTAAAATTCAACATGATGAAAATAATTGAAACTATATTTTAAATAGATTTTATTATAATGTAGTATAGATGAAATATATGTATATATTATATTTACTAATACATAATAAAAATATTTTATCATATTACTTTGCTATATTATTTGTATTATTAACATATAATTATGATATAACATTAAATATATTTTTAACATATTTTTAACATAATATTAAAATATATTTTTTATATAATTTTGATATATAATTGCTATATAATATTAAAATTTCTAATATATGTTTGATATATAAAATTGAAAATTTATATTATATGTTCAATATATTATAAGCATATAGTTATAATAAAGATAACATAAATGTAAATATAATATGTCTGATATATTTTAAAAATATAATTAACATATTTTTTATATTGATAAAGTTTCTGTAAAGTACCTCTATGAAATGCTAGGAGTGGATCAAATTTAGCGATCAAGATATATATCGTTAAAAAAATTTATATTCTTTCAAGTGAAATTTACTGGTTTTTTGTTAATAAAGCTATGGATATTTGGGCAGGAGCTTAAAATTTAAAAGGGAGGATTAAAGCTGTAATCTGTAACTATGCTTCAATTAGTCATATAATCGAAATAATTAATAAAGTTGACAAAGTGGACAAATTAGACCAAGTTGCTAAAGTAGTTATTATTGATCTATTAGATAAATTAGTTATAATTATTATATTTGTTAATTATATTATAGTTTGTAGAGTAGTTAGTTATATTTATTTTATATATTTATTTAATTTTTATTATTATATTTGATATCGTATATTTTATATTATTTTATTTTGTATAAATATCTTGTATTTTCTCTTGAGTAGAAAAGTAACTTAAGTTAAGGTTTTAGGATAAACTAAGAGTTTAATAAAGGAATTATTAAATTCATTTACTATTACTTTTTGTTATATCTTCATATAGGCATGATTGTGATATTGTCTTATATTTAATTTAATAGATTGAATTAAAAGTTTATCATTTAAGTTTACAGATACTAAGTCAATAATGGCAAATTTTAGATTAATATTAACGGACGAGTTCTGATTAGCAATATCTAATTACAACCTTAAGGATCCTAAGATGAGTTACTGAATATATATATACCCAATAAGTATCATCACTATACAGTCTGCTAGTATTCAGATACTAAAACTTAAAATAAAATTTATGTAAATCAGTTATCATAAGATCAGTGCAGTATTAGCATTAATCACAATCAATTAATTTGCTTAACCGTTAACCATAATTTGGTCAATAGACTAATATTAATAGCCAAAATTGTGGCTAAAGTTCATTAGTAATTAGCTGCAGCCAAATGCCTTTTAGCTATTGTTTTGACTAATTTTTGACTAATTTTCTATTTTTGAACAATTTGGTTGACCTTGATAATCTTTTTTTTAATACTTTTTTTAACTCTTTTGTTTTAACTTTAATGGCAACTAATAAATGCAAAAATCTTTTACAATACATTGAGATTTTATCTAAAAAGGCAGATAAATAGTATAATTATACAATTTGTATTGGCTATGTAAAAGTTATTAATAAAAAATATGCTATCGAAAAAAAATTCTCTAATAAGACTGAACAGATATAAACTATTTAAAAAAATGTGATAATTTTAAGTCTTAGTTTTCTAAAGAAGAGGTAAATGAAGTTTTGGAGAATGAAGTATCTGAAAATTCAGTTTCTATTCTAATATATAGTAAGAGACCGTATCATGAGCAAAAATTTATTTTAAATAAGTAAAATATTAATATTTATATTTATTATTATTTTATAAAATAAAAAAATAATTTTTTAAAATATTATAGATAAACAAATCAATATAAAAAGTTATTTGTATGTCTTTTCCGTTGAGACTACTTGACCAAATTATTTTTTGTCTTTTTTTAAAAAGATAAAGAGATGTTTGATGATTTAGTTTTAAATGCAACAGTATCAGCTAGAATTCCTTTACAATAGGTAGAAAATAAAGAAATAAAAGAACTTTTTAGTTTTATTAATTCTACTTTAGAACTTCCTAATCATCATACTTTTAAAGATCAGATTTTACAAAAAATTATACAAAAAATGAAATTGGATTTAGAAAATAAAGTACAAAATGATCTTATTAGTATTACTTTATCTTTTGATAAATAGATAAATATTTTAGATCAAAATATTTTAAGATCAGTTTTTGTTACTTTAAAAGATAAAGTTTAATATAAAAAGCTAAAGATATTAGTAGCGAAAGAGAAAAAAAAAAGGTTATAGCAAAGATCAAACAAATGCTTTATGAATACATATAAATAAAAGTAAAGTTATTTGCTATAGTTATGAATAGTGCTACAGCTTATGCTATATTTAAAGAAAATCATTTCGTTTAGAAATTTAAATAGTCTCATCATTATTAAATTTTTTTTTTTCGATTTGAATCTTGTTTTTTCTCGACATCTCCTTAAAAGACGCTGTTTATCAGATCGTATTACCTATTATATACAATATATCTATAGTTCTTAAAGGTATTTGTTTTTTGATTAATAAAAAATAATAATAATAACAAAGAATTCTTTATATAGCAATAAACTTTCATTGGTAGCCAAATATAATCCGAATACAGTCGATAGTCACCTCTCGTATAGTCACTCCTAGGGATGGGACGGTTCTCTCGGTTCCATTTTGGTTCCTCTACGGTTCTCCTAAAGTAAATTAAGACTAGGAGCGTCAAGTTAAATAGAGCATGTTAAAAAATTTTTTTTTTTTTACTAGTATCGATTTTGAGCCGGTAAAATTGGGTAAGCAGCATTTAGATTCGGTTCTGAACCGACTCTGAGTCCCTCTTTTTGAACCGTATAATAGTCGTTACATTTTCAAAGCGTCGATACAGTTTTATTAATATTCAATAACTGAATAATTTTTAAATCACGTGACTTAGAAAAAAATTCAAGCGTGAAATTGTATATGCGAGTTCTTTATGTATAAGTTAATTTTAGAAAACAAGAAAATAAAAACACTGTATAAATATTTTATAAATATTTATAATACATTATATAAAAAAAGACGTAAAAATTATTTGGGACTTAATTTTTAAAATTCGAATGCATTGAAACTTGTGAATCTTTTTTTTATTATCTTTCTTTCATTAAAAAAAAAAAAAATTTATAAATATGGAATATTTTATAATAAAATTTCTAAAATAAATTTTAATTGATAAAGTATATGATACATCTATAGAAACATAGTGATTTTAACCGTACTATTATTATTGATCCGTAATATTAATGACCCGTAAAATTATTTCCAGATGGTTCAGCATAATATTCAGAAGTAGTCCCAGGGTTTTTATCATTTGTAAACTTTTTATCCTTTTTCTTCTGCTTTCCTTTCGGCACCTTAGCTTCACCTATTATAGATTCTTCATCATTTATTTTCTCAACTTCTCCATTAATTTCTATCGACTCTTTAATTTCAAATTCTCCCATCATTCGTTTCATTCTTTCATTAATTTCATCTTTCGTAGTTTTCCACCAATAATAATACCAAAATATTAAGCAATAAAAAGAAATCCATAACTGGTAAAGAATGGCGACATTTTATGAACTCTTTGTTCTTTTAAATATTCACTACATTCGTCTGAAGCAGGCGGTAAAATATTTGGACATTGAACGTTAATAGCAAAGGAAAATATCAGTATATAAAAACCTGCTAATATAAAAATTCCAGCAATAGGTAATGGAACTTTATATCCATTTTCACGTTCAAGTAATTTATACTTTCTAATTACCAATAACCCTATTCCGGTAGCAAAGTAAAAGATCCAATAACTATACATTGAGAAAGACGAAAATAATTCAAAATTGGTAATAGTAAAACTACTGCTAACAAATAATATAATTAATGAACACCAAATGAATTGTGCTAATAAAGCATTAACCGGTGTGTCGTAACCTTGATGCCATTCTCTTAAAAGGTGCGAATATTTCAAAAAATAGCCTGATCTTGCTGTTGCAACGATAACCCTTGATCCACTATTAAAAATATATATATGGTAAAAAGATGTTATATTTAAATTACCAAGTAAATTACATGAGGGACTAATTACTCACCTCCAAACATTTGATGCAGCAGTGCCAATTACAGAAAGCACAATTAGAAATGTGAAAATTCTAACTATTATTTCATTTCCACCAAATAATTTATTAAAAAAGGTTGCGGCTATAATTTGATCCATCTTTCCATTATTAAGTATATCTTCTTTAGGTACGACAGACATAAATACAATATTTACAAGAAGATCTATAATTGAAAAAGATTTTTAGAATAATAACATGAGGATTAAGACCTTTCCAACCTAATATACGTACACAATAATGTAACAATGACAACGCTGATACTATTGCTGAAAAGGAGCCCCTTTTCAACATTTTTAAATTCATTCAGTGAGTCTACAAAAAAATTAACTCGTTATTAACTTACTAGAAATTATTAATAAAGAACGTTTAATTTCAATGACTTACAATTCAAATTATTCCATCCTTCATAGCTGAACATAATCTACAAATGAAAATCATGATAAAATTTCATCAAATATTTATAACTTCCTTAAAAATAAATGCATATTTACCAGTAAAATAGAAGAAGTATAAGCTGTAAAGTCTGTATTTCCATCTAATGGCTTTTGCCAGTGGAGTTGACTTGTTTCCCAATCCAAAAATAATCTAAAAATTCCAACTATGGCAATAGTTGAATATGTGACTAATTTTATAACTGCGAGTGACTGGTTTGTAAGATTTGCCAGTCTATTATCAATCATATGATATGCTGTTATAACAAACAACATTGCAATCGCGATGAATTTTATAACCCTAAAGTAGATAAAATTTTAGTTGCAAATTGACTTTCAATTAGCTAAAATATAATTGTTCATACCAGAACGGAGAAAATGGAAGATTCCATCCATTTTTATCCTGTTCAATGTCAAATTGATGTCCATTAACAGTATACCAAAAATATTGCGCAGCAGATTGTAAAACTGCACTTGTAATTCCTGGCTTAATCGCACTAAATAAATTAAAAGAATATTGACCAAATTATTAACCAATTAAACTCCGACTAATCAAATTAATATTAAACTTACAAAATGTACATGAAACTAAAAAGGTAGCTTATACATTTTCTTGGTTTTGGGTAAGCGGTCTGTAAATATTTTGTTTCGCCTCCACTTATCTTATGTTTGACACCAAGTTCAACATAAGTCATGGACCCCGCCATACTTACGAGTCCACCTAATAACCATAATAATAATACGATTCCTGGAGACTTTACTGAGTTCCAAATAATTCCTGGTGCAGTAACGATTCCTGACCCAATGATGCTGTTTATGTTCATGCCAATGCCATAAGCACGATTTATAATCTTTCTTTCGGGATCATGTTCGTACAAATTCATTTTAATTTTTGGAGATTTATAATAAATATTAGAACTATTTTACTTTTTTTTTTAATGAAAAACATTCGTTCGGGTTTTTTATAAATAATTCCATCATTTATATTTAATAGTAAAATCAAGATGCAAATTTGGAATCATTGGCATTCAAAATTTTTTGTTTGAACGTTTTTGGAAAAAATTAAATTTCCAACTTTAAAAAAAAACTGAGCGTACAGGCAGTGTTGTGTCTGCAGCTATCCCGGACATGTCCGCACTTTGTCCGTGCTCTTCGCTAAACATTTTTGCTGATTATCGAAACAGGTTATTATTAAGGAATTAGCACTTTTTCTCGTGACACCTGTCCCGGACATTGTTCCGTGGCAACACTGCTTACTGGCGAATTTTCTGTACATGGATTACTTTGACCAACTCTATTTTTAAGTATCCGATCTTCATGCCTAAAAGAACAATTTTATAATGCACGCGATCAATAGTGGGCTTAAGCTTGATTGGTTAATTTTCAAAATGATCGGCACATATTAAATTCATATAAAAAAATGATGATCGATCTTTAAATGGATTCGCACCTCAGGGATGAATTCGCAGGTATTGCGATAAAAAATTTTTAAAAGATTACCTTCTGTTCTATAGACTGTTAGGTAAGTGGAGAGTTAATACGGAACTTAGCTAATAAGGGTTTTATAGCAATTTTTTTTATAAAAGTCATTTTATTATTAAAAAGAAGGAAATACAAGCAAAATGTCTACCCACCACGAAGATACACCTCTTCCAAAAAAATAGGAAAAAGAAAGGCTCAGTATTGTGTTTTTGAGAGCCAGGATAACGTTATCTGTAATTATAAGTAGCATAGTGCATCCTTTGTATCTGAGAAAATAGATATTTCATGTTTAAGCCACCATTTGAATAATAAATTAATAGTAAAGATGGTCCCATAATTATTTTCAAATTTCAATTGAGTTGCAACTTAATTGTGCTATAAGAAAATTTAATTATGTCACAAGTTGCAATTTAATTGCACCATTTTTTTAAATAAAAGAAAAAATCTAAAACTAATAAATATTCACATCTAAAGTATATGTTTTATATATCTACAGCTCAATACGGTACAGAAAGAAAGAAACTTACGAAGGCTTTAGAATAATTAACTTGATTCTTTGAGCTATCACAAGGAGTAGTTTTTTTTTTATAAAGGTGTGGTAGATTCGCAAAAACTTTATTGAAAAAACAGTAAAATAATACAAAATCAAATCATAGTAATTACAATAATCTCAGACTAACTAATCTTTGACTAATTAGAAAAAGATCCTATAAAATATCCCCAAAATCAATCTTAACATAAGCAAAGAATATCATATTTCAGGATTAACAAATAAAAATATAAAAATAAAAAACAAAAATAAATTTTATGCTATATTAGAAAGAAATTATTTATGCCTAAGATAGTTCTATAAAAGAAAAGGTGATAATTATTTAAATAACTAATTAATTGGGATGAAAATGTAAAGAGATCAAAGATCTTTTTATTTTTATGAGAATAGTAATTAAAGGATAATTGCAATAGTATTAGTAATGAGCTCTTTTGGCCAACCAGTGATAGTGATTATAGGAGACTATAAAAATCTTGAGAAAGGTATTGTAGCTAATCAAAAGGAACTTGTTCAGTTAGATCATTATATTTGCCATCTGAATCTGAAGAGAGAACGTATCTATAGTTTCAGTGATATAGGAAAAACCTTTATCTATGTATTTCTTAAAATAGTTAAATATTTCTTTTATAAGATGTCACATCTTATGTAGTATACTGAAGATGAGAAATCTATCTTCTGTGATAAGAAGAGGGTCAGAAACAGATATTTCAGTTGATGGTGGAAATTCAAAATCTAAATCATCATCAGAATTTGAAAAAGAATCTTTATTATTAATTGAATTATTGGTCTTAATTCTATAGTATCCTAAATTAGGCCATTCTTTAATTTAAGTCATGATCTTCTAAAATAATGTAAACTTAAATAAACTGAGTAAGTTTTTTGATTAGGTGAGAGGATGAATAGTTTTTGATTATTAAGAGCAATATTTTATTTTATGAAGTGATCAAGTTTATCACGTGATTCAAAGCATACAAATGCATGATTTACTTTTAATTTTTTGAATTTACTGATAGGGATATACCAATATTTTACTTTAAGAACTGTAGCATAGGTTCAATTTCTTGATCAGTTGAGCCAATTAGGAGGTTGAAAATTTTTGTGACAAAGAAATAACATTTAATTAGTTCATCGTTAGGAATAATATAAAATATTATTTATACATAATTATTAAGAAAGTGAAAATCTCATATAGAGTCTAAGTTTGAGAGCTATTTTTGTTTATCAGATAAGTAAACAAGTGCATTATAATATGAAAGTTTTGTTTAATTATTATTCATTGGATAGTACCATATTTTGATGCCATTGTTTTGATCATGTGTTCTGAAATTATTGATGAATATTAATAAAATGATAGACTCTTTATATTATTTATGATGGGATAATCAATTCAAGTATATATGATACAGAGCTGTATAATTGTGAAATTTCAATTTAGAATTGTCTAATAAGATGATACTAGTCTGAAGTTTGCCACCTAAGTTGACATTTTCAAGAGCTAGCCTTTAGAGTCTTTAGACCTTAGAACCACTGTTAAATTTAGATAGAGAGATCACTTCAGCTACAGGTACTTTTATCAGATTTTTCTCATACTTACCAATACTATATTTAGATCACTATTATCTCTGCTTAGTATCAGGATATTTTACACATGATCAGGAAGACTTAGATGTTATCATCTTTATAGAATGTCAGAAATGTAGGTGACTATCATATCTATATCATCAAATTCACTCAAGAATTGAACTCAACCTCTACTCCCTAGTGACAGCTTAATTGGATAGTATTACAGTAGTATAATACAGTCTATTATCACTATAACCACCCTTAAAAGGTACTCAATTTACTAATTACTAGTTAATCACTTTCTTACTCGTGTAAGGGCTTCTGAATTTAAAGACGTAAGACAATACCCATTACAGGTCTATTAGCAAAGGCTAAGTTTCTATCAATCTCTGACTTTATTTGCATTTATTTGTTCTTCAAACCCAGTATTTAAACATAATCAATGTCGATCAACAGATTAATCAATCAGTTTCTAATACATATTAGTATATGTGTCTACATATTTAGTTATATATAAAATTCTTATGAAAATTATCTAGTTTTGTGCCTCAGCTGAGACCTAAATCTGTAGCTATCATAGTGTAACTTACAATAGGAGCTTAGTTGTTACCAACTGAATTAGGGATGCTAATCTCTATTATCACAAGGAGTAGTGATATATCATCATTATTTATATAATATTGATGATAATTAAAGATAGCGTTATAACTGGTTACAACCAATATCACAGGGTTGCAACTAGTTATAATATTAATAAAAATTGAGTTGCAACTAGTTGCAACCAGTAACAAATAAGTATTACATGGTTGCAATTAGTTGCAGCGCTATCTTTAATGATAATCTAGAATATGTTAATTTGCCTAATTATCTGCTACTGCCTAAGAGAATTTTGAGAAAAAATATAAAAAAATTTCAAAACAGATCATATATATTATAAAGTAACGTTATTTATTTTGAATCTGAATTTCAGGAATTGAAGTCTACATATCATAAAATATATATAGCTTAATAAAGTAAAACTAGATAGATAATTAACTTTATTTATAGCTAATTATAATTTTTTATATAATTAATTTTTTTTATAAGAAAGAATTTCTCTTAGTAAAAAAATTAAACTAACGTTAAGAATTTTATATATATAAAGTAGCATATAAATCATGAAAAATCTATTCTTGATTCAGAGAAATTCATAAAGATGCTTGAGAAAGTTGAACTACAGTCACATCTCGATATAATGAAGTTGCCGATCCAGCCGATCAGGACTTCATTATAAGAATCTTCGTTAATATTATAACAAATTATGCGGTATGTATAACGAATAATTCGTTATAGTAGATGATTACTGATTTCATTACACAAATATAATTTTACTA